GTTAATTTGTTCCTGCTGAATGCGTGTTTTTTAATGCTGCTGAGAAAATTATGCTGTTGTAAGACTGAGTGTCAGCATGCCTAGAGCGCTTTTTCCTTTTCTACTATTTCTTGAAACTGAAGAAACAAATAAATTTATCCTTATTCAGTGTGAATCTCATTGCAAGTAAAAAAACAAAATAAGTTTGTCACAGGCTGTTGAGGGTGTTTATTTTTGCTGAAGTTTCTTTAGCCATTTCTGGATGTTTGACTAATAATGTATTTATTATTCTAAAATAGTATTTTGAGTTTAATGACAACAACAGAACTGGCTTAATTATCAATAAGTAAAAAGATAACTTAAACAGTACTTAACTAAATGGTTTAATGGAATGCAAGAAAATATTCTCTAATTGTAAAAGAAAAGTGAATGAGTGAATTAAACAAGAATATGTTGTGTTATGTCTATAAATACTTGATCTAATTTTTTGTTTCTTCATTACTCTATTTTTAAAAAATTGAGTTCAAAAGTGTCTTCATTTCTAATGCTCAGAATAAGAGATGTGATTTGTATGAACATATGCAGCAATTATGCCAAAACTAAATTTCTTCAGTTCTGTGGTTACTATGGTAACCAATATTCACTGTATTTCATTTAGACATATACAACAGAATGGAAGATGGTAGGTTTAAGATTTAATAATCTTTGCAAAAATTGTGCTATAGTACATAATATTTTAATTATGTGTAAGGGGACAGATCAAATAACTAATATGCTTAGTAACATGAACATTGGTAGTAATCATCTTTAAAACATATTTGTATGATTCTTGTGGTAATAGAATTTCAGATGCTCATTTCTAACAATTGAATTGAATTAATTTTATAGCTTGAGCAGGGAGATTGTTCCTACTGTCAGGTCTCTTTGACCTCCCAGGAATAAGGAAGAGAATAGTAATTCTATTGTTTTGTTTCTGGACTAGGGATATGTGAGGAAGGACACTAAAATAGTAGATTAGATAGCACCTTTAGTCAGAGATAGTTATGTTTTATGTGAACCCATGTTGGAGAATGTGAGCAGCTCTCATCTTAATGTATTTATTTTCTCAGTACTACTTGGTAGAAGTATAATTCCTCTGTCCTGATTCATGTCAGAAAGGTGGAACTCAAGAATATATGTAGAGAGACAAAAGTGTATCATTCATGACTATGGCGCAGAATGCCTGTTTTAATTAATTTACATATTACAGATTTCCAGTGTCCTTGTTTTTCATCCTATTTAATTGTCTGTGGGTTTTCTTGTTTGGTTAGAGTTCATATTTGCACTAAGATTTGAAGAAAAAGGATAGGGATTAAGTTTTCTGAGTTACAGACTATCTGGCTGGAATGAACCACAAAAATTCCCAGGAATACTGGGGAAAAAAAATAATAAATTGATTCTGATGCAGAACAATTTCAGGTATTTATATGATCATAGTAAGATCTCAGCTATAATATTTTTAGTTTTGGATACAATTAGAAGTTTTTGAGAGTGCATTATTTGATCTTAATTCCCTTCTTAAAGCTTAAAGTGACTGGTATAATAGGCTAAGTTCTTGGGATAATGTTCCTGTGAAAGGAACAAAATACAACAAAGAACCTAAGGAATTTTTCCTGTCTTTTGTTGCTTTTAATAATAGTTCTAATATTTTTATTAGAGTTGGTGGTTTATATGAGGCAGCCTATAAAATTCTACGTTGAAGCTTTGTCTTCAAGTGTGAGACCTGACTATCACTAGAACAGATTTTAATGCTGCAAACTGCTATTTAAGCAACACTGTGTACCATTTTGAAATATCTGCACTAATTGTGGTTTGGGGGAGTAATTTCAGGGACATTAATCCTTTTTCTGTGCATTCTGAAGTAAAGCTGGACTGCATTTCAGTGGTTAAAAGGATTCACTTCATCATTTGAAGACAGGCAGAAATTTTGCAAGAAATTCTAGGACCCTAAAACCAAATGGTAAAATGCTGTATTTGCAGAAAGCTAACACTTGGAGATCAGGAAATGATAGAACAAAATGAAGATTATTCATGGAATGTTAGCTCCTTTTAACTATGAATTAGTTTATAATTTTTATTTATGCTGACTGTGTTTTGGGGAAGGAGGAAAGATTCCAGTACAAATGGCAAAGTCACAGTGAAGCAGGTATCAATGAGAACATTTTAAACAAAATTCTTCTGTGATTTGGCCCTATCTATTGTAATTATGAGGTAGATAATCTCAATTTGCACTTAGTTTACTTAATAGTGAATTAGAGTTTTCGTGAAGAGGTAAGTATGGGAGTTGATGAGAAAAAGGTTCTTATAGAACAAGGTTTTTATGAAACATATTTATGAATATCCCAAGACTCTTCCTGAGGAATGGCATTTATGATGAGAAATAGTAGTACTAGCTTATGTTAGGTGGATAGGAGTTCTAACATCTGGATTCTGATCTGTTTAATTGAAAAAAATGTATTGAGGATTTTGCTTTTAACAGAAATTTTGTTAGTTCCTCATCCTTCTATTTGAGATATTAGAAATTTATTTTTAGCAGCTGACAAATTATTTCTGTTATGGTAAAGTACCAAGAAAGTAATTAAAATGTTGTGTGTTTACTTTAGCTTTAGTCATATTTAATGATATATATAAATTACATCTATTTTTATAAATATATATATAAAAATGTACCTGCTGAAAGATTCACAATGATTTTTTTTCCCTTCTTTATGGAATACCATACAATGACTTTTAAAAGGTATACTGTAGTAATATGACTAATGTAGTGGTTATCTTTGTCAGGGTGAGGAAGCTAGTTTGAATTCTGTAAAACAGTTTGTGCACGATAATACTTCCTGAAGGTCAGAGTTATATATTACAAAATTGTGAGTGATAATTCACTGGATTTGGCTTATTTTTTCTGGATAGGACAATATAAAATATTTTTTTAATTTGTATTTTGGTAGCTACAGCTATGAACATAAATAGTTTATACAGAGGCTAAGATTTTCAAAAGATACTAAATGAACTACATGCTGACTAATTTTTTTCCAAGCCTCATATTAAAATGATGCTTCTGCAATCAAATGCAGATTTGTCTAATATATTTTTTTTCAGTATATTGTTATGTACAGTGAAATGCATTTTTGTGTTGTGTATATGATTCCTTATCAGGCAAGTGATGTTCTTACCTTTTCCTTAGCACATGCTCGCATATCAGATAATAGTCTGTTCATACCTTGTTCCAGATGTATTACTGGCTATATAAGCAACAACAAATGGAGGCTGCTTAAGCTTTTCTTCCGGATTTCATCCTTTCGTATGTAGTATTTTTCTCATTTTTCCTCCTTTCTCTAGAGCTATTCTGTCTGTCAATACATATTTGATTTACTAAGAGTTTCAGATTCTTTTGTACTCCTTGCTGGAGCTAATGTGGTCCATCTGGCCTGACTGTCAGGATGAGCCTGTTAGGAGAGTAGAATTTCACTTTACAGAGTCCAAGAAGCTGACATCCTGTCACAGATACAGTTAAAAATTCCTGCTTGCCAAATCGGCATATTTCTTTGAACAACACTGAATCCTACCATTGGACATAATTGTTTCATAAAATTGAAAAAGCCACCAAACATGAAAAAAAAGATATTGATGTACAAACAACATGCAAGAATGGCTCGTATAATACATTTTTCATGCATTTCCCAAGGAGAGTTGCATAGTTGAAAATGTGACTTGAAACTTCCATTATATGTATTATGAACTTTATTTAATAAACAGAAATCTTTTCCATAGCTTTAGTTTGAAAGGTTTGCGGGTGTTGTTCAGAGTTTCCAAGTCAATTAGTTTGTTGCAGTAACAGAACAATAATGCTATCTGCATTGCATAGAAGTTCATGTAGAAGATCAGCCATGGATGCAGCATTTCTTCTGCCAAGCTTGGTACACTTACATTCTTCTAACATTTCTTTGGAATGGATCAATAAACTGAGGTGTGGAGAATGTGAAGAGCATATTCCAGTCTTGCTCTTTGTTTACTCTGACTATCCATCCAGCTGGACTCTTGGGCAACTATTTTCCATTTCAGAGAGTTTGGAATAAACATATCTCTATTTTTTTAATAGTACTACTTACAAGAATATGGAATGCTAAAATCTATCATCTATGTGATGTTTGTTTCCGGTATTTTATATTGATGAAGACTGTAATATAGGTGTTGGGGTTTTTTTTGCTTTTCTACTAGTAATTTTTTGTAGGTTGATAATAGTTGGAAACCACATTTTACTGTGGGCTTCTAATATACCAGTTGCATATTAGATCTGGATCTGTGTTTGGCAAATTTTGGTTTATCAAATGTGTGAATTTTAAGGGTGATAAACAAGTTTGGTAAATTACCTCAGCTTGATGTCCTGAGGCTGAACTATTTAAGTTTTTAGCCAGTATTATTTTTCTGAATTACCTAAGTTATATATAAATAATGTTTTTGTTTATTGTAGTAAATCTGAGTTATGAGTTTATATGCAAATATGTAAGAGAGGAAAATAATCTACTTGTCTTCTGTTGATTGAGATTACAGTGTTTGAGACTACAGGTTTATGGACCTCCCTTCTATTCACAGTTTCTTAATTAAAATTAATCTCAGATTATCCATTTTATTTTTCACTTTTTTCCAGTTAGTCTTGGTTACCACTGTCATGATGGGATCCAAAATAATCTGTATAATTAAAAGAAAACAGATCACATAGGTTAAAATTTGGTCGTCTTGGTTTTTATTTGCTTTTTAACTGTAATTTCATTACTTAAGTAGGATCCACTGAGTAATTTGAGGTGACATCAACTATTTAGTTGTTGCTTTTCCCTTAGTAGGAAAAGTGAAAATGAATTTGCTAACCTTTAAAAATACTGTAAATACATCACTGATGGAACACATTCTTTTGCTGATGAAAATAAGAATTTTTAAAATGTGTATATATGTATATGTGTTATTATTTTTCTGATCATTAGACTGAAAAATGCTATCAGCAATATGTTTGAAACACTGTCATTTTCCTGTTCTTCTAAGGACAGTAATGAGCCATCCCAAGGTTTGTCAGATATGTCTGCTATTATACAGTTTTCAAATAGTTTCATGAAGGGCTTAAATTTCAGACATAAGAAGTTGTTTTATATTTTGTATTTGTAATATTATATAACACTAGTGCTCCTTGGTTCTTATTTCGCACACTGTTTGAAAAAGCCTCATACAAATGATGTGTTTGTAGACTTTGAGTGTGAGTCATTGACTTAGTGGTGTCACTCCATCCTCTAATGATCATTCAGTTTTTTATCTGAAAACAAAATTGGCTGCATTTCCCTTGTAATTTAAATTTAATTTTTAGATTTTAAGAAAGTGGTAAATAATTCCATTTTCTCACTCTAGCTTGCTTTTACAAAGGGATTAGAAGACCTGCATGTAAAAATGTTTACATTTATCAAGGAAGACCAAAGCAGTAAAAGAGTAATTTTTTTTTTAAATTTCACATTTTTTTAAATGGCTGTATTGTTAGTTGCATTAGTGTTGTAAAGAAAAGAAACATAATTTTGACAACAACATTAATCTTGATTTAGTAAAATGTAAGAATAATAAGACTAGAAGTAACTAAGTGAAATTAAAATAATGTTCATCTCAAAATATGAACTGTGTTGTGCTTCAGAGTACAAGAAAGACGCAGTTATATATGCTTTGTTAGGACTGTACTGTGTAGACATCTTGTGAAGGTTTCTGGCTTTAGAAGCAAGCAGATTAAGAACCTATGAAATAGCTTTTGATATACATTTTAGTGGGCTGTCTTCTCAAACAAAATTTTGCAAATCATCTTTTTGATTCCTGTAAGGCTGTTTATGATAAAGTGAAGTTAGAAGAGCCTTATGTAACATACAGGCATTTAATGTTTTAGGCTGACACTTTAATTAAGACACTGAGATTATTCCTTTTTTTTAAAACCCCAAATCCACAGACTGTATATGATTTAATCCCTATTACTGTTACTGTTATTTTTGGTATATCTACAAGGCACATTAAAGCATTGGGCCCCCCTGAACATAATTAGATTAATGTTTCATGTTTGTAGGACAGCTTCTTATACTTTTTAATATCTCTACTGATAAATTTCAGTGTCTTGTTCAGGTTCCTGACACCTTTCATTAGTGACCTCTGCAGTCAGATTCCCATTCTGTGTGCTAATTAAATAGTTAACATTCAAGAGTGTGCCACAGTATCATTTATTTATGTGGTTATAAGGCTAAGAGAGTTTAAAGAAAACATAAATGTGAAATCGGCATGTTCTTATAAAACAGTTCATATCTGTCACGTAGCTTTAAATTCCCAGCATGGGAACTACTGTTCTGGAACTTCATCCATTCATAAGGTTGAAGCAAACATTTGCTATAACTAAGTTTTGTATACATAAAAGTAGTCTAAGCTTGCCTCTAAGGCTCTGTGTCTTTCTCTGTTTTGCTTTGGGTGTTTCTATACTAGCTCCCACCTTTGCCTTTTTGGGTTCTGATACTAATTTTTCTCTGGGCAAAATCCTTGCTGAGGGCTAGCATAAAATCATCAAACTCTATTCATTTGGGATTAATTATGTAAAATTAATTAGAGCAATTGTATTTTGACCCTAGTCCTCTTTATCATCTCTCATCTCTGAAATTATTCCTTCATATTCTTCAAGCATTTCTGAATCTCTCCCTCCTTGTATTTGAGATTCTATTAAAGTAAGAACATTTTGTGCAAAAAGTGTGCATAGTAATAGATGTAGCTGTTATATTCTTTTAGTTGGTTTCAATACCAAAGCTTCCCAAGTTCCAAATTACAGGAAGAAAATTAGGCATGAGAAAATCTGTTATCAGCCTGCATATGAAGTTTAGTAGCTATCTGTATTATCTTTCTTTCTTTCTTTCTTTCTCCAGATAAGAGCAAGTGGATCACCACAAGACAAGATAGCTGTGCTTTTGTAAAAAGTCCATTACCCTGTATTAACAAAGCTATTCATCACATTCAAGGGTTAGAATTAAAGATGGGGAAATTCCAACAGGTACATTGGTGGTTGAAAATGGTAAAGTACTTTTTGTCTTTATAGGAACAAGTATATTTTTTAATAGGATTACTACGTTGATTTTTATAAAAATTTAACTTCATGTCATATGTACTCTCCAAAATAGTGCCCAGGCAATTAATTTGCTAGTCACGATATGGTTTTCATTTACTTAACAGTTTTGGCAAATCAAACCACCTTATTAAAATCAGTGTACCACAATATCGTAATGTCATATCAGTATATCATATAGATTAGTAAATTCATATGTGATGATTCAGTTGCACAGCGTCAAGTTGTTTCAATGATATAAATTGTCTGCAAAATAGTTTTTTATACTAATCTTGAATAGGTAGTCAAATTGAGCTGTGTGCCATTTTCTGTCATTTATAATAAGCAATGTTTTTTTTACTAAACAGTACTTAACAATTACTTAATTAAAAAGTTTCTTTATGCTCGCATTGAGAGACATGAATTTGAAAATGTTATGGTTCTTTCTCTAGCAGTACATGATGTCTTCCTAGTCTATATAGATTTTGTGTGAATAAAATCAAGAATAAAAGGAAGCTAAAAATGGGTATGTAGGTGAAGAAAGAATGCAATATGATAAAATCTTCCTAATAACTTATTTGAGAATATGATAAGTATCATTTAAATAATTCACTTTTACTGGAGAAGTGTTTTCCAAATGTTAATAAATTTTGCATATGTCTACACTGTAGTAAGAAGATCTGATTGCTGCTTGCACAGACAAGTTATATTTAAATAATTTATCTCCTATACCGACAATAATGTTGTCATAGCAGCACATGAGGAAAACTATCTTAGATTAGTATTCCATAAACGCTGTTAAATACTTTGCAGGGAGATATCTGCAACTGCAGCATAGATACTAGAAAAATCCAAGGTGCATGAACTACAGCCATATCTTGATTTACAGTATAGACATTATTTTGGTAGCAAATTTGATATTGCTTCATTCACCTTTATTGAAATTAATGTGAGAACAGTGAAATTATTTGAATGTCAGAATTTTGTCATCAGTATACTTGAATTAGATGGATAAGCACTGACATGTCCAGATTTTTATTCACTTTAATGTTAAATTGTTTCTATAAGTCTTGTGCGTGTTTTCCACATCTCTTCTAAGTTTTTGTTACTTAATATACAGAGATTCAAAATAGTCTGAGGCCTCTAGATGGTAGCATCATTATAAGTACGAGTTAAGAGGAGAAAAGGTGGGGTTGCTATAGTATGAGAATTTAATTAATGCTCTTAAAAGTCAAAATTAAGCATATATACTGAAATAGTTATACTACAAATACAGGGAGTTTGGATTTTACTTGTCTATATATGAATTTATTTACACTTCTACTAGTAAATTAAGTGTTACTAGCATTGTGTCCAGTTTACATGGAAAACCTCATATCCATAATATGTTAAATTCTTACTCTCCAGAACAGCATAGACATTATGCACACTGCCCTTGAGGAATGGTCCCTGACCCTTTCCAGTTTCTGAACTGTGGTTGGAAACAGTTTGGGAATGGTTTATGAATGTGGTAATTTCCATTACTGCAGGTTGTAAGATTTAGTAACAGTTTAATGGTTATAAGTGATCATGTTGCTGGGTCCAGAAAATTTCCCTGGCAGTATTTAATTTACTGTTGTAAACATAGCCCTAATGAAGAAAAGTCATGTGAAGTTCAGACAGAATCTCTGCTGTTGTTTTGGGATTTAGAAATACGGAGGTTAAGAGTGAAAAGGGATTTTTAAAAAGCATTCTACAAAATCGAGTAATATATAACAGGTATGTACAAATCCTAGGTTTTATTACCATTTGGAAATGCAGTTTTTAGCAATTCAAAAACTTTGCAATTATTTTAAAATGTTGAAAAGCATTCGTCTGTATGTACAGTAACTAGATCCTCTTATGATACAAAATTAAGTGGACTATTACGCTTTTTGTTAGGAAACAGAAAAAGTGTGTAACATCTGAGGTATATAATGGAGTTTATGTTTTGCTTTTGCAGTACAATTATGTGTTTAAGGATGAGAAAATACTGTGGTAAGAATTGTATATACAAAGTCATAGAAAATAAGGCATTTGTTTTTATGTCAGGTAATTACTTGATGAGGTGTTAGTCTGGCTATAGAGTCTGCTCTGTGAACTGGAGTTTCTTCTGTAATGTAGAATGCGTCTAAAATAAGCATTCTTAGTGTCTGCAGGATCTAGTTACTTCAGAAGACCAGAAGTATTTATGCAGAATTTCTCATATCTTTCTTACTTAGTGTTTAATTTTCAAAGATTCAATATGATTTCAGGTCTCAGGACACACTTAAGTGATGAATTTTTGTTGGTAACAGTTGATACTTCTGAAATTGTGCCAAATCCACCAGTTATCTCAGGTGTCTGACTAAGGGTGCTTCTTTTAAGCTCTCATTGCTTTAAGTTTTGGGTTGCAATGTGATGTATAAACATTCTGAATGTTTCTGCATACTTACTCTGATCTTTGTGAAGTTCTCTAAATACGTGCATACAATTTTCTGAATTTGCATAGAGGATCAAATTTACTCTCAGCTTGGCTAGACACAGGGAGACGAGTAATTAAAAAAGGAAAAAAGTTTAAATGAAATGGCCATTTCTACGTCACATGCTGTAATAAGATGGGAAAAAAAACAGGATTTTTTTACATGTTTTTCTTTCTTGGATTTCCTATACTTCATACTCTTAAGATTCTTATTAAATGCGTGACTTCTGTGTTTTCAGTGTAGTTTGCCATCTACTTATTTATGTTTAGTTCAAAAAACTTTTGTGTGTTTGAGTGACAAATTTCCTTGGACCACACTATAGAGTCTGCAACTTTGTGTCTTTAAAGTTAGAAAGCGAGAGAGGATGCTTATTAAAATCAAAACAGAATATAATTTCTAAGTTAAAAAAACAAGTTGAAAAATTGTTTTTTCTAGATATGTTTGCACTGGAGACATCTAGATAATACACAGATTTGTTAAAGGTTATAAATTTAAAATGTAATTTTAAAATGTAAAAGTCATGCACGTTTTTTTTTACATTTTACGTATTGACTGAAACACACTAAAGAACTCAGACTTTTCCTAAGCCTAGGGTACAATATAATACAATACAATACAAAGCCAAGTATTGAGAAAGTACACAAAATAAGTCTGAATGTGTGAGTTTATATTATTCATGATGCAGGCTACTTTATGATGTAGTTCTAATTACAAAGATTAAAAGAGGAGTTTGAAGAGAAGAATGTATCTTATGCACTGAGCTTGTTGTCCTGGCTGCTTTGCTTGACAAGAAGCACTAGTGCTTAAGAAGCACTAAATGCTTCTGCCACTTAGAACAGTCTGGAAAGTATCACATGTAGTGCTCCTGTATATTCAGAACTTGGAAAGAGCAACAGCTTTTCTACAACAGTTTCTCTTTGGCAAATCCTTGGGTATGAGGACAAAAATTGAAGATCTTTTAAAGTACACGATGTAAAGAAATCTGTTTCTTGTATCTAAAAAAAACCCCCCAAAAAACGGGAAAAGCATTTATATGGGAGCTGTACAATTAATAATTCTTCTGTATGACTTTCAATTATTCCATTTAACTAGCCAGCATTTAAATGTGTAGTATTCAAGAAAGGAAATTTTGACTTAGTGAAAGTATATTTATCTAACAATGCTAATTTAAATTCAGTCTAAAATTTTTTATCGACAGTGGCCTTTGTCTACAGGATAACAAAACAGGTGAGTGCTGAATCCGTTGAAGATAACTGGTTATCAGTATCCACTAAGCTGGATTTTAAAGAAGCTGGTATATCTGTGATGGAAAAAATATTTCATAATAGTCTCAGTGGTGAGAGTTACTTATCCTCATTTAGTATATGCTTTGCAATTGTAATAATAGTTGTTTGTTGCCTGCTCTATGTCTTATGTAAATGATATGAGTATCCTTTGAAATCTGTGTGTATCATCTGTCAAGCTGAAAGACACTTTTTAAATGTTATATTAAGGGCTATTAAATCATCATGTTTGCAGGAAGATAATTTACATTTCTGTATTTAGATTCATTTTAACCCATCTTGGATTTGAACCAGCTAAACTAGTTATGTTGGTTGTTGGAAATTCTAGGGTTTTTTTCATTTAATTTCTGTAAAACAAATAACTGCATTGCTGTTACAGGTTATTCATAATGTACTCCCAACAGAGAGTTCTCTTTTTTACAGTTTGCATCTTTATTCAGATTATATATTTTTTAATTAAGTTTTAAATATTAAAGAGATTGTCTGCAATTTTCTTTTAAGCCAATCTACAACCTTTGTACTACTAGCCTGAGGCAGTCCCGTCTGCAATAAATTGTATGATAAAATTTCTGTTGATAGCAATGAACCCAAAATTTCACTCCAGATTTTAAGTAGTTGTACTTCTTTCTAATGCTTGCAGTTTTTAATAAAAATAACTTAGAGAATTATTGACTGTGGAATCAAAATGGAAATTTCTTGGACTCTGCAGCTTATGTAATTTCCATTTTTTCAAAGATCAAGACAATGGATGATGACTTCAAAGAATCTTTTATCAAAACAAATAACTGAGGCATTTTTGATAGCCACATTTCACAGAATGAATTGATGATTTGTGTGTATCGTGAGTAAAACAGTGCTGTTGAGATACTACACTGAATATTCTTAGATCTCCAAAGACTTTAATGAAGTAAATGATACTTAGGAAAATAAAGTGAAATAAGTATTCTTAACAAAATTGAGATAATTAGGTACTTGTACTATTATTTGGACACTTACCCAAGCAACAAAGCAAAGATGAAAATTTTGTACCATCTGTATTAATATATTTTTGTTGCACTCTTCATTGGAAATGAGCTGGAGGAAAAGGCTACTGAATGAGAAAGTTTTGTTTGTAACCAGTTGTGCTTACATTGATACATGTGAAGAGGCTAGCTTTATTTTATGAAGGAAGCTGGAATAAAGAATATATGTTTATACCTTCATAAGAAATAATTATAGTTTATTTTTAAAGACAGAAATGTAACCATTTGTGCTTACTGTGATCCATGTGAAAAGGCCAACTTTGTGCTGAGAATGAAGCTGAAATAAAGAGCATGTCATTAAGCTTTCATAAAAAATAGTTTTAATATATTTTTAAAGATGGCAAGACATTAACCTTGAAGCAGGAAACAGAAGCTTTGCTATTGGAAGTTACTGAGCTAATTAAGTGTCTGGAGGCTGATTGTGAGGAGGCAGAAAAAGCTTTGGAGTTGGAGAAACAGCGGAGGAAAAAGCTTGGCATGAAAATTGATTGTATGTCACTTCGGAGGCTTCAGAAGCTCCCCGCAGCCATGCAAAAAGGTATTGGTATTGAAACTAAAAGTACTTGTTATTTTTCACTCAGTTCATTGCCAAGAATAAGAATTATGATATGACTATAGTTGTATTTATCATAATAAGAGAACAATATTTACTCATGAATTTGGTATGCTTGAATATATATCCAGAAAAAAAATATGTAAAGTCCTGTGGGATGTTCAGCATTGTTTGAGAAATAGCATGAGTAGACAAGACACTCTTAAGATGATAATAAATACTCAGTTCGGGTCAAGGAATGAGAAGCTGAAACAGAATTATAAAATAATGCATTTGAGTTAAACCATAGATTAAACCACAAATAAAACCCCTAAATTTGTTTTGAGAAAGATTTAAAATGTGATAAACTTGAATAAAGTACTTACATATTTAGTAAGAATTGTTTGATGTAACCATTGATAGGTCTTCTTGAAATCCCAGATTCTAAGGACATTTACTATTACCTTTTGTGATGAACTGACATCTACACAATAGAATTAAAGAAAAAACAAAAAGGCAGCTACTTAGCAGCTGTTTGCTGTTTGTCCTCTGACACATGGTCAGAAGCAGGTACCATCTGAACCTAAATTTATAGGAAAGTTGTGGAATTTGTAATATAGGTTCACAGCTGGCACTCTAGTGCATATTCTGGTGCACATCATCCTAAAATCTTTGACAAATACCTCACAATCCAGAGTGTGGTGACAGTGCAAGAGTCTTCCATAACTGTGTTCACTGATGGGTAAACACTGAGTGAAAATTACCGTATAATGGAGGCAAGCCAGGAGTCATTTAGTTGCAAATGCTTGGGGTTTTTCCTCTCTCTTTTCCCCCTCCCTCCCCTAGAAGGCAAAATGTCAAATAGTGCACTTTCCTAACAGTATATGAGAAAAATGTATGTTTGTTTATTTTAGCCAATGGCTAATGCTTGACTTGGAAGATTTTGCAGAGGTTGTTTTCCTTAAAAGCAGTTGGCCTCTGAAGGACAATTTATGATGCCCTGAAAACAGAGGAGATTGAATAAAGAATCAGAATTAAGATTCACTGATAAGTTAGAAACTGCATTCAGGAGAAGATCCTGTGGCAACTGAAAGGTCAATTTTACAGAAGTAAAGAACTGCAAGAAGAGAAGGTTGATAATACAATCTTCATTCTTCAGCACAGGATTTGAGCTGCAGATATGTTACTTTTTACTTTTTGATGTACTTACCTACAGTGATGAATCTGTAAATCATTTTTTGTGTGTTGCTATACATTGCTGTTGCTTTTACTTTACTGTTTAGCATTTTCTATAAATATTAAAAGTTTGGAATACTGGAATATAATTAACACATTTTCAATTCTGTTAATATATGCAATGATAAAGTATATATAAAAAAAACCCACCACCACCACCACCACCACCACCAACAACAACAACAAAAAACAAAAAAAAACCAAAAAAAAAAAAAAAAAACCAAAAAAAACAACCAACATGAAGTTTGGCTGTGAAAATTAACCAACTCTTCTCCCTTGATTTATCAGTGGGCTACATCAGTATGACATTGTGTCCTTAGAGTAAATATATAATTTTCAGGCTTATAACTTTTTATATTACCTATAAGACAAAAATTATGCTAAAATCGAATTGAGGATAAAGGAAATAGACCCTCAGGGATGTTATCCCTAATCTAAGTATTGCAAGCCCAAGAGATTCTTAATTAAGAGTTTGCATGACCCGTTCAGAGTAGACACTGAATCCTGTTATTTCTTCAGACTTCCCTTGATTTCCATTATTGCTGCATCTATGTGCTGTAGCTCATCCAGCTCATTACAGTGACATAACCTATCTCCAAAAATTACATTCTTTGAAACATAGCAAAAATCCAGTGTAAAACACATTCATGTGTTAGGTATCAGTATCATGTAGAAAAGCCACTTATACATACAAAGTTGCTTTAACTTTTAGTAGCAATGAAATAACAATTTTGTAAATTTGTGATTTATGTCTTGTTAACACAGCAAAATTTATCAGCTGTTAAGGGATTGCATTGAATAATTCCACAGCTACTTCTCAGAGCTAGAGAGCCTTTTTTTCCTCAGTAAAATGTGCTTCTCAAATTTATGGCAAAGTTTACTGCACTTGAGATATTTTCTGATTTTTTTCTTATCTGATAATCTTACTTTACTTTCCCTAGTTTCGTACCAGTATTTTTTTCCATATAGAACATCAGCTGCTGCAGGATACCATATCGTAAAGTTTATTTTCCTAAGCAAAGTAAAACATGTGTTGTCATTCAGCAACCACTGGCCTAGTCACATATTTTCTTGTAAAGACCCATCAGGAATTTATGCCAAAGTCAGAAAAGTAAATGCAGCAAACTGAATTAAGACCGACATACTTCTGTGTGGGAACATGAAAATGTTTTGTTTGTTAGCTTTGAGTTTGTATCTTTAGTTTAGCTTTTCTGAAGCCACATTTAGTTCAGGCAGTATCCCTGAACTGAAAATAGTTGGCATATTAAGAGGATGTGGGATTTATACTTGCCCTGGTCTTCCTCTACATCCACATGTGTCTATTGCTGGAGACTAGGAAGCTCAGTAGAGTTGTTCTTGTGTTATAGTAGCCTGCTCTAGATATGCCTTAAGGCTAAAAGATTTAATTTCCATCATAAAAACAAAACCACCCCTCACTTTGAAGGTTTGCTTGTATTACCTACTAGGATTATTAAGTATGATTTTAAAAACAGTTCCACTTCTAATGCAGTATTTGGTGGTGTCTTTTTGTCACCAATGTCCTCTTTTGGCATTCAAAGTAGTTTACAGCAAATTTTGCAAATCTTACACTTAGTATTATGACAACATATTTCCTAATCTCACTAGGTATTCATGGTGTCACTCAGATACTCAGATTTTGTTGTGCTAATTATCTTTTTAACAGAATATGAAATGTGTATTCAAGATACCTTGGAACTACGATGGCATTTTGATTGTAAAAACCGTCAGCTGCAACAAGTATAAAGCCAAATAATTAACATAGAAACAGTCAACAGAAAGATTCAGGAGGATATGGACTTCATGAAGAAACACAGCCCTCTGCTGGAAGAAAAGCTGAATCTAGAGGGCAAAGCTGTGAAGGATGTGTTACTGGCATATGAAAAGGTAAATGCAAACAATGTGAAGATGTTTGTTTTAGAACTGTTCCACTACACAGGTACATAACCTTTTAGATGACAGCAGTCTTTTGGAAGTACCAAAGTCCGTTTTGAATTTTGTGCACAAAGGCTGCAAATTGTGTGCCTGTACAGCTACGTATAGGCACTCTGTGCAGACAGAATCCAGGGAGGATAATGCTGTCGGCCTTTAATAAATGTCTCTTAAGCATATATGAAATGTAATTATACCTTTGTAAGTTGATTTCATGTGGGATTTTTCATGGGGAATGTAGAAAGCACGTATCTGATATTTGCATAGATTCTTCTCAGATTTCTCACAGACATCAGCGTTTGTTCCAGAATGAGGAGATGTTAGAAGCTGTCAAAAAAATGTTTGTAAGATTTAATTAAAAATAATTGCTGATGTATATTTTTCCCAATTTATTTGCTGATAGTATTTATTGTTAATAATATAGATAATAATCTATTGTTTGTTGATAATAAATGCCTAATGTGGGTAATGTCAGGCTGAATATTCAAAGTGTAGTGAAGTTGTAGGTAGTTTAATGTCTAAAAGGGGAATGATACTGTGTTACTTCAATTACAGATTTTAGTACTAATTATTATTATTTTTTCTATATATTTTCTGTAGTAACTTTTAAATAAAAATCTAGAGATTAATCTATTTTTCAAGGTACTAAAGATAGTATTTTGTTTGTAGATGATTCTTAATAAATATTGTTTATTTTAATTTGTTTTATTTTGAACTCATATTTTGAGGATGCAACAAACATGTCAAAATCCTTTTAAAATTATCATGAATTAGTTCTGACCTACGAAAAGCTCACATTTCTATCAGTGTTACGAGATATGCTCAAAATACTGGCTAATTAAAATTCAAGTTGGTTATTTTAGTTTTTATTTTGTATTTTTTTTCTTATTAATGTCTTAGAATATGTTGTATGCAGTTAAAATAGTGACGTGTACTAAAATACAACTCAGAAAGTAGATTTGAAATATTTTTCTCTAAAGACTATTTTAAATAAATACTTTTTTTTCAAGGGTTTTTTCTTCTTTCTTTCCAAAAAGTGACACTACATATCATAAGAAGATAGATTTTGATGTTACTGTAGCTTATTTTATATTTCATTTCAACAAAATTTCTAATTGTCAAATAAAATATTTATGACATTGTGCTCTAATTTATACGCTGTTTGTTACTCAGAGGGTTTTTTCCTCCCATGGCCTTAAAAATCCAGCTGATACTTAGTTTTCTTTGCAGTTAAAACAAGTATTTTGTTTTGAATCTCTAACTTTTAATATCCAGAGAACTTCTTTGAGCTGTGATGTGCTAGATTATAATAAAGATTTTATGTCATGATGTTATGTGTTTATATGTGTGATAATATTTTAAAAGCAGAGACCATAGACATGCATATCCCTATCTGTGAGTTCTTAGGAACTATACTATTTATGTATACACTAAATATAAATATCGTATTTATACCATTGAAAATTGTGTTCATTGTCTGCATTCTCATGCCCTTCTTTTACATAGGTGACTGTTGGGTTTGGACATCCTCCAGGAGATGTTTAAGCAATGATTTTGTCAGAATACTGAGTGAAACCTTAGTGGCTTCTTTCAACATTATTTCTTTCTTTCTGCTCCAGAGGTCACTATCTTCCCATGGAAGTAGCCACCTTTTCTCAATAACTTCAAAGTTTTGTAACAGAGTGAAAGCCTTGCTAACATGTCTTTATGTTATGCAACTTTATGACCCATTCTGTTGTCTATCACTATGATTGTATCTATTGCAGACCATGCAGAATTTGTTAAGTTGTATGACATCACAAAGTACTAGTTCAACTTAGAATTTCAATTTTTAAACTGCAAATAATCAGACAAATCTTGAAATTATTATTCTTATATAGCATCTTTCAGAAAACTTGTTTTATTTTCTTAGACGTCAAAAAGATATAGTGATGTTAGTTGTGAACTCATGGAAATCCAAAAGACAATTGGTGAAGAATCTGAAAAGAAGATAAAATCTATATATAAGAAAATGAAATATGCCGAGATGCTATTGAGTCAATACAAGTAAGAGCTATTCAATATGGTATTATAATGTTCTGTTAATTTTAATATTGACAATCAAACTATATAAAATTTGCTTTTAGAAATAATTTTAAGTTCTGGGTTTTTTTTTAAAATCAAAATGAATAGAATTATATATAAAAGAAGGGCTGACCTTGTTTGTCTTAGCTTACATTAGAGGAATAAGGAAGGGATGATGTCTGGAAATACACCCAAATGGAAAGTTCCATGAACTGACTCCTTAAGCATGCCATTTTTACGTTATATTACTTATTTATGAATTTTTAATCCCTTTGACAGAACATTTTGCTATCATTCTTACTGACTGCACAAATTACTTGCAGTGGATGTCAACACTTACCATAGTACCATAGTTATGTTATAATGATAACTTAATTAACATATTAACCAGAACAATTCTAGCAAACACCATTCAAGTTTTTAACTTATCAAAATACCCTGTCTTTCTTTTTTTTTTTAGCAAACCAGCAAAATTACTATACCTTTTTGATTGCAAGGTAGGTTCTGTATGACAATGACTTATGTTGCAGTTCCCTCACTGTAACCTCTTGTCAGGTTAATAACCCTTGAATTATCAAGTAGAGCTATAATAACAGTAGGACACTGCTAATGGCCAGTCACCTGCAAGTAATCTCTCCTTTCTGTTGCTGAACATACAAAGAGTCAGTACCAAGAATAACTATGCTAAAGAACAAGAATACCAAGTATTTTCATGTTTGGTAGGAGGTTGCACTTGACTTTGCTGCATATGCCTATGGCTAGTTGCCAGGTTTTATTTGGCAAAGTAGCAAGAGTCACAGTGGCTCTTTTTCACTTGAGATGAGGAAAATTTACAGGCATAATTGAAAGACATCAGTAAATTTTTGAGATAACCTTTCTGGCAATAGCAGATGTTTCCATACTGCAGCCATGTGACAGCAACTGTTCTTCAAATATCAAGTATTTAAAAAACTGTGCATGGTAATTATCGAGTATATATGTTTTGTAGTAAGTCATCAAATTTGGTCCAGCCTATTCATTCAGAACTACTTAGGTTCACTAGGAACTTACATGCCATTTCCATAATTCAAGTTGTGCTATGCACTACCTGAGTTAAGAGAGCATGCACCATTTTGGTATTCCAGGGACCTGATGTTAGAAAGTGCCTTGATGTACAGTAGTGGATGAAAACTTGTCCTGCTCACTGATGCTTCATTCAAGGCAGCAAGACTAATGCTAATGGTTGAGATGTACGTGCAAACTCATGTCTTTAGTAAGCTCATTTCAGTAGATGTTAATTTCCCATCCAGAGAAACCATTACCAGGGACTGTTCCATCTAACTCTGCTCTTTCTTTTCAAGGATCATCCTTATAAGAAGAATTGGCTTTATGAGTTTGCCTAAGAGCAGTAAAGGAGTAACTACAGTGCTGAAGAGGAGTGTCTGGTTACAGAATTTCTTATTTTTTAAACAAATGAGGGCTTAGGGTGTCTTATGCAAAGATCCATGTATCATCTCAAGTTAGTGCCATATCTCTTCTACAGTTGTTCTGTCTCTTCAAAATTAAGACACTGTGGTTCTCTTACTGCAGAATGTCTGTTCCCATGCACTGATCCATTCAGCTCACAGGAAGTATTATGAACACAAAATACTTCCTGATCATTTGTAGAAGAGGATTATGTTTATTGGACTAATAGTGGAATTCAGACTTCACAAAGTTTGTGGCAATAGCAGTAGGTCCTTCAAAGAGATGGGCCATCTGTGTCTGCTAGATAGCTGGGTGATTCTAGAATGCTGTGACAGTCTTTCTCTCTGCTTCCAAATATGACTGTGAACTACAAGAGCTACTCTTCACACCAGCACAGATGTAATATCTGTAAGGACTGTTATTCACTTCTTCTCAGTGAAAGTCTGTTTACCAAAGATGGATCTCATCTTTACACTTTTAAGAATCTTATGCCACATTTCAACCCATCTTTGTCAAGAAAACATCAAATTCTAGAAATTGTTACTAGCAGAAATAAACTTTGTGATTTTTCATGTTTACAGGCCAGCAGCATACTGCCTGACTTTCTAAAAAGACAGAAAGTAAGCAGTTATGAATAGCTTATTGTCATGTTTTAACCCCTGTAGGTGGCTGAGCCCCACACAGCCACTATCTCACTCTCCCCAAGCAGGATGCAGTAGAAAATCAGAATGGTAAAGGTAAGGAAAGTTTGACAACTGCAAACAAGCACAGCAAAATAAGGAATTAATTCAGTATTTCCTGTTGACAGACAGATGTTTAGCCATCTCCAGGAAAGCAGGACTCCTTCACATGTAACAGTTACTTGGGAAGACAAACGCTGTAACTCTGAATGAACAACCCACCTTCCTCCCTGCATTTTAATTGCTGAGAGTGATGTCATATGGCCATATGCCTGGGGTCAGTTGGGGTCAGCTCTCTCAGCTGTGTCCCCTCCCAACTTATTGTGCATGCCCAGCCTGCTTGCTGTTGGGGCAGTGAGAGAAGCAGAAAAGGCTTTGATGCTGTCTAAGCACTTAGACATCTCTGTATTATCAACACTGTTTTCAGCACATAACACCATATTAGCTACTGTGAAGAAAGTTAACTGTATCCCAGTCCAAACCAGTATACTTACACACAAGGCCATTGTAATTCCTGCATTTCTTTCAGTGGAATATCTTTTATAGGCTTGTCTGCCATGAAGGCCAAAACCAAATCCTCAAATAACTGAGTAGTTGTGAGAGCTTAGGGTACTGCAAGTGACCTTTTTATTTGATGTACCAAATAGGAAGAATGGTTATACTTTTTAACCTGTATGTAAACTGCTTTAATAATATGTGATAGAATAAAACAAGGCACACAGTAGAATTTGGGAGTGAGGTATTTTGGTTCCCTCTGTGAAGGGACTCACTCTCAGAGGGACATAAAGAAGAGGTCATAGCTGCTATAGCTGTTTTCTGTTGGTTTTAGATTTTTCTCTTCATTTCTTTGTTCAAGAAATAATTAGAATTAGTAAGTGTGATCGTTTTGCTTACTGTTTATGGTGCTCAGTATGCCATGGTGAAGAGCTGTACCTGATTAAAATAATGGGGGTAGGTTGTATCGTTTACAGTTTCTTTAGATTCTAACATCTTGGCAACTTTATTTCAGAAACGGATTAGTGGGAGCAGAAGGCTTCCTGGATGACATGTGTTTACTCAAATGATGTTACTGCTCAAGAAGTTCCAGTCTTGCACTCATAAAGTGTCTGTGCACTTGTAATAAGATCCAAACTGTCCTTGTCTCCCTGAGTCAGTGTAGGGTAAAAAAAAAAATGTATTTTCCTATAAAATGGATAGCTTAGCAATACTAGAGGAATAAGTGTCTCTGTCTGACTTTTTTCTTTTGTCGGCATCTCTGACTTTTTTCTTTTTTGATTCTGACCTTTCCAGTGAATTTCTTGGTCTTGTTTTTATTGAGTTCAGCATAATTTTGACACTACATTAGAGGTATTTATAGTAAATATATTTTGTTGCCTCTAAGATTAAAAAGTGTCACAGTCAACATGTTTGTATTTCGTTAACTAAAGCTTAAGTTTTTTCATTTCAGAGCCTAGTCTGCAATCTGGAAAAAATATATGAAAATTAAAATTGTAGCCAGAAACACAGCTAAACCCCAAGTATTTTATTATACAAAAACTGAGACGAGAATTCTGTAATACCAATACTTGTCAAAGCTGGAGTGACTTCTGGAAATTACCATGTGATTCTCCAGTTAAAGCCACTGCATGTATCTAAGTGATGGAAAAGGTGTGTAAAGAGTAGGAGGTAATATTTACTTTTGATGGATATGAGCCTGTGAATGCAAGCTTCACAGTGTCTTCACAATGTTTGGAATTTTAATTCTAGCCTAAATTTGTATATAGAAATGATCTGATCAAATGCTCATTAGCTCCTTTGTGGGTTCTAGCTGAGAGAAATCAGACAGCATGGACCCTGATTCTGTAACTGGTTAAGTTAATTGCAAAACTCATTTTTATTTTAATTATGGGAAAGATCAGGTCCTGAGTAAGAAGTATTACCAAAAATGTAGTGTGATTTATTACTCTGTAGTCAGATACTTTGCAGATCAGTTTAGTGTTTTCACTGGCCTATTTAGTGTTTTGTCATCTTGTTTGAATTACTAGATGCTGGCAAGAATTGTTAGCAATGATGATAGTGATCCATTGCTGGAGGTGATTTTATCATGTAATATCAGAATAAATGATGTTAAAAGGATACGATTTTACTTTAATTATTTTTTTTAAATACTATTCCAGCATATACTTACTATTAAACCTTATTCTTTATCAATTCATGCTTACAAAGTGTGGTCAGCAGCAATTTGTTATAGTCAAATTGCTGTAGCTTGGGAGTCTAAACCTTAAGATGTATGAAACGATAAATATTGCTGTGTATTGTGATCCTTCTCCACTAGCCTATAACTTCTGTGACTTTGGATTTTTACTTTGTTCCTTCTTCCTGTTTTTCAAAGCAACTTCCATTACTGTCAGTGTGCTTTCAGAAGACTTCTATATTCTATGACCTTTCCACTCTCCTGACTCCTTTTCACTTCTGTGAAATACTTTTCTGAAATGGGTCGAAAGGTAATGCAAGCAGTATTCCAAATGAAGCCATGTCAATTACTTTAATGGGGACGTCTTTCATTTTTTATTCTAATGTTTTTCTTCCTATTTCTTACTTAATCTAACAACTTCTTAGCTTCTTTAACTGGGCCAAATGTTGAGTAGCCTTTCAAGTGTTTGTGGAAATACATACATGTCTTTCTTGATTTGATATAGTTAATTTAGAATTTTTAGGTGTACTTAATTTCTTTGACTTTATACTACTTTTGAGTTTGGACACTAAATGGTATGTGCTGTTTTGTTCTCCAGTTTCTTAGTTTGTCTTGAAATTTTTCTTAAGTTTCTTAGTTCTTTTTGGCCTTGCCTATTGTAATCACATTAAATGCAGACTTTTAATTTCACTACTTCTTGCCCTTTCAGATCATTTGTAAATATATCAAGGTAACAGAGATGGGATTTTGAGATACCGCGCTGTTGACCTATTCTTTCAATTAAAATTGATTGTTTAATCTTACTTCTGCATTTTTTCATTAGGATTAGAATTTTTCATCTTGCCTCCTGACTACTTCACTTTTTAATAGCCTTTTATGCAGGATTTTGTTCAGTTTCCTTTAGAATTCTGTCATTGTGTCACAGCTGTCAGCTTGCAGTTGTAGGGCAGTGTGAATAGTTTTCTTGTTTTGGTAGTCTTGGTGGAAATCAAGGCTCTTGAGATTAGTTCATGTGCAAGAAAGTGTGGCATTTTCCTGTAACAAGCCTTTGTTCTGAGGTGCATTAAAATTGCTTTACAGGAACTCTTTGTTCTTTTGAAAAAAGTTATAAGTAAAATCCCAGTGATAATGGCAATAGGTAACTAATACTGGAAATTCATCATCTATACCGATAGAAACATACCATGTATGTTTTCTGTTTCACCTAGTTAAGTGATTTCCTAGTGATACCACATGACAGTGATTTAGACTGTTGTGCACCTTGTAACCTGTTTTGTTTATGTGAATGTGAATAGAAGAAGAGTAGAAGACTCTTTTTTCTACCCCTCAATGAAGAAATTAATTTTGTTTGCCTACTGTATCTTTTTTTTTTTTTTTTTTCCTCAGCCATTTGCTAGACTGGTAATTAAAGTCATACTTACATTACAGAGGAAGTAGACCCTTCAGCTGCCATCTGAGGAGGACTGGAATAACATGTGGTATTGATGGGTGTGAGAGAGACAGATTTGTCATGGCACAGACTTGAAAGACTGTTCTGCAGTTGATACTCTTTTCTTTATGTTCAGTGCCATCAGTGAGAAAAATGAAGATTGCATGAAACTCAAAGTACTGAGGCTAGGGTACATCACACAGCACAGTCTGTTATTTTTACACATACTTGCTGTGGCTGGTAGTACTGTATTTTTCCATGAGATTATACTCAGAAAATTGTAGCTGATAGGTAATATGAGAAGAAAATTACAGTCTGTGCCTGTTACATGTCTGTTATGTGTTTATTTCATGAGTAGTGGGAACTAAGAAAGTAGAGGTGTTTGAAGTGTTAGGTTTCACGCTCACATTATATATATTCTGTGACATTTCGAATACGACTTTGCAAGATAAGTCTTTACTCCATCACTAGATGAAATCTTGGAAACAAATGAAGAATGTCTATCAAATAATCTTGTAGGAACGGCTCTTGAATTAGGGATGAAGTCTCTTCATTATTTTCTGTTGTCTTAACTGCGTTTAAGTATGCAACACTCGTTCAGGGTTTTTTGGGTTATAATGCAATAGATGTTCATCTTAGTTCTGCTGTGGTGGACTTATTTTTCCATTTAAGGCATGCTTCGGAATGTGTTGTTGACCAGGATAGTTCTCTGGGAGGCATGGAGAAAACTCCTCTTTTCATCCTGGTGAAACAATAATAAAAAGAATGGACAAGCACCAGCAATCATTATAAAATTTTAACCTGATGTCCCTGTATTTCTTCTGCCTTTCACCTAATCCGTTCTCATACACGGCTGTAACAAAAGGCCTATGCACGGCCTATAATGAGGCCTAATAGTGTCTTGTGGGAGTGTTTTCCTGATGACTGTTGTAGTTATTATTATTTCTTTCTGTAATTATGGACAGTTTTCCTTCACTTAATGTTGATAAATCTGCTATTCAGAGTGATAGTAAAGTCCTTATCCCCTCCTTTGACCTTGCATACTGTCTGCAAGTTCCTTTTAACATGAGGAATTGATGTCAGTAAAAAATTTTCTTCACCAATGACATTTGTCCACAAAATGACAGGGCAGTGGATTGATTAAGTGAAGATGACTCTGAAGTAGATTCAGCCACTAGCAGAGAAAGAAGTTGACTCTTGTTCCATTTAATTAATGTATGAGGTATAAAACAAAGTCTTGTGTTTAACTACACCAATACCTTTTCAGAGGTCAAATTAGAAGTTGTAATGTTGGCAGGCTTTTTAAGTGCAAGTGAACCGGTAGCATGAGTAGTTTTGATATCTGGCTGAAATTGCATGAACCTGCCAGGGTAGATATTTTGAAATTCTCTCATGCATACCTGTTCAAGAAACGTAGTAGAGAATCAAAATAAATCTTTACTAATTCAGATCTGCTTTACATTTTCCTTTATGGAGAGGGACTACCTTGGAATATTTCCAAATAGATGGATTCACTTTGTGTGTATTTCTATTAGGAATGAGTTAAAGCATTCTGAATTTATTTGGACCGAATACTGTATGAGGTTAAAAGAAACAGAGGAGAAGATTATAAAGGATGAAAAACACCTTGAGGAGTTAGTGAAGCAAAAAGCAGAAATCCAGGAAGATGCAAAATGTTGGAACAGCAAAGTGAGTCTTGAATATTTATAAACAAGCAAGTAAATGAGTATCTTTTATTGAAAAGTACATGAATGCGTAAATATTTTGTATGTTTAAGAGTTAAGGTCCTCTGTAAAAGTAAAAATACAAATACTGACTTAAAACATGGTAAATTCTGTAGAACTCATGTTCATTCTTCTGTTGTAGTATTATTTTTCAGCTTTATTTATTAAAAATATCATAATAATCTTACATTCCTTTAAGTGACCTGGATATTTTCAGTTGTTGGATGCATATCTGCTTAATATTGCTTATCTTCTTAAATTATCTGGAAGAAAGTGTACATTTTGTGGGACAGCATAAGCCTCCTCTTGCATTAGTAGATTTTTTTGACCTGCAATGGCACATGATGAACTCTTAGAGTATGCAGAGTGATACCCTATTTTACTTGAAATTCTGCTGTTTTCTACTATATTTGTCTAGCATTCATTTTGAAATCTTGTACTTGGCAGTTTAAAATCTAAATTGAGTTCCTCACACTGCCTTACTAGGAGTTTCCAATTAATTGACAGCTCCATATGTGGAACCAGTAGAAAATGCCTAAACCAGGATTTAGATACCCACAACAGAACTTACTCTTTTTTTTATATATATGTGTATGTATATATGTATAAATAAAGTATGAAATTAATTCTCTTGTACATGTCCAGTACGGTTGTGCTTTGTACATCTAGATAGCTAGGTCCTGCTAAGGATCCAGTGTAATCCAGAATCTAGGTGGAGTGTTTATAAGAAGCCGAATCTAGCAAGCATGCTCAGGACTTAAAAACCCAAAGCACTGCCCCTGCAAAAGTAAAGATACAGTCATATTAGACACCAATGGGCATGTTCTTGCCATTTATTTCCAACTATATTACAGTTTTCTTCCTGTTATTGGCACCAGCAATTGCTACCAGCTGATAACTAGAAAACCACTACTTTTTAAATAGAGCCAATACTTAGTAGTAAAACTTTTTTTTTTCTTTCTGGATTTGTTTCTAGCTGGGCTTGCCTGACCTGATATAGTCCAGTAGGTACTACTGGATATTAAGACCAGCACAAGGGAAAGAGAGAAATGCACAATAGGGATAAGGTGGAGCATGGAACTGCTCTGTTGGGTGACCACCTTTGTTTTGATTAATTTATGCTAATGGTGAGCCAGAATTAGGTTTAGCATAAAACTGTTCCATTATTGTCAACTTTGTTCAAAAACATGACTAAAACAACTAACTGAATAAATCTTTACAAATAATAGCAGATTTTCAGAAAGCCCAAAGTAATTCTTATGATCATCATAGAAAAGTTAGTGGGACAATTGAGTTTTCTGGGAATTGGGAAAATATTGGAATTATTTTCAGTGACTTCAGTGGGGTTTGAATTTGACCCAAATTATAACATGACAATTGTAACGTACATTGACAAGTTTGAAGACAGATTTGGTGATGTGAACTAATATTTTTCTGCATTTTTTTCCTGGCTTTTTTCCCTTGTTTTATTTCATGATGTTTTCAAATTTTATGTATGACCTATTGGGAGTGTTACAACTTTTGACACTGTAAGGACAACTCTGAGTTTTCTTTCTTCCATGTTACCCAGATTTGCATTACAAAAGGTATCTGTATGCATTAAACCCATTTTCTGTATCTACATGGGCTTTGCTTTTCAAAGATTAGAAGAAACCCTTCTTATAAAATTCTTCTGTCATCATTAATTATCTGCACAATATGGTAGTATTTCAGGTCATTCCTGTCAAAATGTTTGCTCTAAAAACACTGAAAGAAAAAAATTTTTGAATCATGTTTTTCCTGTGTAACAGCAATTTAAAAACTGGGACATTTTATTTGTACTTAATCCACTGGGTATTTTTCCCTGTAGATGTAACCAATTTCTTTGCCTTTCTCACACTTCCCCTGAACTATATTTTGTAGAATATTTTAAATATTGAAAGACTTCACAATTTGGTTTTTTATCTCCTTTTTCTAGGCTAGTAAAGGTGCTTCTCTGCAGTTTTTTCTCATAGATCATGTTTTATAATCCCTAACTATTCAGGTTAGGACTTTCAGTCCCCAACTAGTTGGAAAGGTACAGCCATACAAGGACAGTGAGCAGAATCCTAGAGAAGTACAGCAGAGCAATGACATTCTGGACAAGATAACAAGACAAAGCCTGTATTGTTTCCCTCCTTGGCTGCTGGGATATAGGCACAAAGTATCTTATGTAAACTTGTTCTTCATCAGATTCTTGAAGTAGCAGTAGAATAAAGTACCTGCATCCTAATTCTGTCCTGATATTCCTGCGTATATTCTCTACCTGAAATGCTGGGGTTTCAACCCCAAGCCCCAAATTAAGGTTGACATGTGGGTGATTCCCACAGCCCTTCACAAAGGGAGGGTAAGTTTATCTTTAAGCTTCCCTCCAGGGTGGTGCCGGCCTTGCAGGGAGAGCCATTGGGTAAATGAGCCCCAGGTGTCTGCATTAAGTAAACAAGGGTCAGGTGTCCCACTGAGGGATAAAAGCTGGGACCCCTTGCAGGGAGGGGCAGTGTCTGTCTGTCAGGTGGATGCCCTGTGCAGAGTTCCCTGTTGGGGAAGGACCTTCTGCCTCCCTGGGACTGGGCTCCAGTCAGGTCTGGCTTTTGTAAATGTGGGCTGTGTAGAGATTCAGTATGTGGCTTCCTTGGTCTTATGTATTTGGTTTGTTGACTCAGTTGTCTCTCATTCCTTCTATGGGAAACTGCATGTCACCATTTGTTCCACCCCTTGTTGGTTGTGTGGTGTTGTTGTTGGGGTCAGTGGGGTTGATGTTGATTATGTATAATCTGACTGACTTGTTTGTACCCCCAGCACTCACCCATGTACTGACCCTTTTGTATCAAATACAGTTTGGTTATTGGTTCATCTTTATGCTGGCTGCGCCCTTTATGCTAGGCCTGGTAATTGGCAAAACACTACCCTTATGCTAATATGCCTATCAGCTCTGAACCTGCTTGGACACATTTGTTGTCTAGTCATATTCCAGTTAGACCCATATCTCTATGGAGATTGTTTAAATAAGTTCTGCTAGGGTAGCTATGTTGTTTCAGTCTCTGCAGAAGAAACAGAGGCACATGAAACAAAGGCTCAGTGTGAACAAGCATGCCTTTATCCATCTAAAGCCACTTTAGATGTTTTCCTTATCCTGTAGATAATTGCTTCTCTAACATCCTTACTTTTCCTTAAGCTCTGATGACTGATCAATCATTGACTCTTTGTATGAATCTGTATTAAGTCAATAGGTATATTGAGATATTAAGGAAAAGCTTGAGATTGAGAGGAGCTTAAGATATTCTACTTAATTATACCACATATGTCACATGAATTAGCAGGTTGTGAGTGTGCTTACTGATACTGTGAAGCCTAAAGATTCTGCTAGGATACATCTCAATGGTAATGTGCATAAGAATAATATAGCATGGAATATCTCTAGTTACTGTTTCAGACCCTTCCTTTCAAATTTATTTTTTAAATATTTTGCTTATATATTACAAAGAAATATAGGAGATATTTGTGTTATTTACCTTACAAAATATTTTCTGGATAGAAGAATTGAATAATAAAGTAGCTGCCCAAGGAGATGAGAGTGTAAAAATATCAGATGGTTCTTCTGAAGTGATTACAGCTGTGGAAAAAATAGTAAGTTTTTTATTGTTTTTATAGAAATGAAGTAGAAATGCTTGCATAGTTGCATTTTCTGTGTTGTCCTGAAATAATTTCAGCTTATGCTAAAGGTGTCTTAATGTTTTAATGTTTCTTAGAAATCCACCAGGGAAAGTGATCTATACAATATAAAGCAAAAGCTTCTCGGTACTAATGAAGCATTGGACATTTTGAAACATGAAGATGAAGAATTTAAGGGAGAAAATGAAGAGTTTTTGCAAAAATTTGGAAATAGGTAATGCCTGCAATATAAATGCAGGAAGCAAGCATTATTTTTACACTGAAAGCATGCCTATAAAAACAAACCTTGCTTTTTATTTTAAGTCTGTCTGTAGTATAACAGGCTGAAATTTATTGTCTTTTTTGCCCTTCACTTGAAAGGAAAATAACTAAGTTCTGCAAAAGGCAAAACACTTTGACAATTAAAATAAAACAAAATGAGGAATATTCTTAAATTCTCTCTATGTTAACAGAAACCTCAGTCCCCAAAACATTTTGGTAAAAGCTTTTATGAATTTTATTTTATTTTTTCATATACAATTGTTCTAAAAATAGAATCTGAAATACTAGATTTTTTTTAAGTTCTTGTAAGACATTATGCACACATCTTTTGTAGTGCCTCAGTTTATTGATTCCAAATAACCATAAACTATATTTTGCATAATATTCTCAGGGCATTTACAATACAATAGTAAATAAAATCAATTTTCAGTTCTTTCTTCCTTTGGACACTAGGTGAATGCTGGTCTTATGTATCTGGCAGGGTATCTTCTTTATTCCCCCGATAACTTTGGATTCAGCAAAGTCAACTGAAAATAAACGTTCTTGAAAATAATTAGATTCTTACTAGTTTTGCAGAAACGGATGACATGAGTTGAATACAGACTTTCTGTCATCCTGAAAACATTCCTTACTAGACCCAAAAAATTCCATACAAGAGATGTGGGAAAAGGGAGGAAATATAAAGATGAAAAAGAGGAGGAGGTATGTGCATACTCCTTAATAATGCTTCAAGTTGGAGCTCACACCTTACATACCAAAGTAAATCAATGGTGGGACACAAATGGGTAAGAAACCAGGCTTCATTAGTTCTGATGTTGATGGAATTACTTATTGGGATTAGTAGAATATTTTAGAATTAGTGCTGTAGCTTTGAAAATTTATTATTTTTTATTTCACTGTCATCTTTTTTATGGATTATAACTTCTATTTCATCATACCCGTAAGACAATGGAGAGAGATCTTGTCCACGGTGGATGTATTAACTGATAGGCTGAAAGAGAAAACTCAGATTTCTAAGAACATGTGCAAGCAAATGCAGAACATCAGGAGAGAGGGGGGGAGTTTTCAGGAAACACATTTGGGAAGCATTATCCCTTGAGACTATTTTATACACTAAAATGTTATAGGGATCCTGGAAACACAGGACAAGTTCACAAGAGCAATCTATTTCATGTATAATTAGTATTGTTGTGAGTGTGTCCTGATTATTGTTCTTCCACATGTTCAGGAGTTCCAGAAATGGGTATGAAAGCTCAGATTCAAGATCCAGAGAATGGTTATGACAAGTTAGAATAATGAAGGATTCCGAGTTTGTTTATGTCTTCAAAGGATGATCTGAAGACATCCTTTGAAAAGGAAATATCTTTTCAGACTGCTATTTAGTCTAGTCCCAGGAAACAAAGAGGGGAGGCTGAATATAGAATTCAATCTAAGTATTTTTTTTTAAAGAAAAATATTAATTCAGAAGAATTAAGTTTTAAATCATACTGTAGTGGAAGAACAGGATTCTTAGCCTAATACAATCCCAGATTTTTCTGTACATTGCTTTTTTATAATAATTTAAGTTAACTCTTAGAAGGATTTCCTGGAATGCTATTTTACAGAGCCCCTACACTCTCTCAAATCTACTTTCAAGACCACTGACCTAGCTTGAAATTTATTAGTTATTAAGGGAGAAAGCAATTGCTAATCCCTCCTAAAAATTAGAAGTTGCATGCATTCCTCTTATGTGTTACAGAGTGCAAACTCAAAGGAAGAATGCTGCTTGTAGGGCTTTTTATTTGAAAATCCCCTTTTATCTTTTTGGAGTTCTTGACTGAATAAGGAGTGTTTTAAACAAAGGCTATAACTAACTATAGTCCTCTTGGGGAACTTGCCATTAAGTGTTATGAGAGAGATAGGATGTGTGGTTCTGCTCAGAAACCTTTACGTTCTTTGATCTGCCACTAATTTCTTGCTTTATATTGGAAATATTTTGCATGTCAGAACATTAGTCTGATACTCTGAGCCTTTTGTAGCCTCTCACAAACTTTCTCAGTATAATTATGCTTTATTTTTAATTTTCCTTTGAGTACATTATAATTTCTGTATGGTCTTTTGTATTAGGGAAGAATTGCTCTACTGTATTGCTATATTCCATCAGAATGGGATTCTTAAGATCAACATATTGTCTCATGTTAGTCTAAGAATCAAAGTGCTTGTTTTGGTTAATTGTATACTAAGAGTCCTGACATGTTACTTCAACAAGACTAAAAAGTGAGTGACTGTCACCTCCTATTAGGCTGCAAGAAGGTAGAGAATTGTTTTCTAACACTCCTCCTAAAAAGTTTAGTTGTGTCTCTTTCCTATTTAGAATATGCAGTACCTGCAAGAAATACATCTCATGATCACCAGAGATTTTTAGGGGTATGTGCAGTCCACATAGTCTCATTTCCTGTACAAGGTGGCTAAAAACCAAAGTTCAGCTGCTCCAGTTCATCTTTATTGACTGAACTTCTAAGTTTGTGTCCAACTACTAGTATTTTTCTTTAAAATATTTCCATCCTAGTAATACTTTGGTAGAATTTCTAATACAGTGGTCAATTGAGAATATTCTTGGCTTGTCTAAACAGTTTTAATTTTGTTCTCTCACTTTTCTTTAAAACAATTCTTATTTTAGATCAGTTACCCAATAACCCTATGATATGGAGATTTAATCATAAGTATTATGTTCCCACTATGTAGTGCCAATTTCATTAAACTCCCACAAACCTGTCTTCTGTAGTGGCTGTCATATTAAATAAGAAGGGAAAGTGTTCTTGTGGTAGTAACTTAGAGAAGAGTCTCAAATGTCTTAATGCTTTTGAAGAGAAGATATAGTTCCTCAATTAAGTTAAGGCTGCTTTACTGCCTAAATAATAATGTCTTCTGCATGACTTTTCTGAAGCCTGGGGAATGGATTTTAGATAAATTTCCATAAGGACAGAAGAAAAATTGTAACTGACTCTTTTGCTGATCTGTAAACATATGGTTCATACCATGAGATATGCAGTCTTCTTTTGAAGATTTAACCATTTGGTGGGCATCATCTCATAATGCAAAAAATAACCAGATGAAATATGACATTCCTTTACTTTTTCCCAAGTGATCTTTATTCTCAGAGTGTTTTCTTGAGCATTTCCATTTTAAGAGATATTTCACCTGCAACTACCTGTCTTCCTTTTCAGAGGAAGAGGTAGCATTTCAACAAGAAAAGGATAAGCAACCTATATGTTTCATTGTCTCATATACTTTAACAAGAGTGACATTTTTGTAAGTGCAGCTAAACATTGTGAATTTTCTGTTTCAAACTGACTACTTCAGTCATACATATTAAAACCTTATTATTAACAGTTGGATCCTGGATACAATTCAAAGATTTTTGTCTGGTACACTCCCTTCTCTCAGCCCTTGTTTATGAGAATCTGCTTTAGCAAAGAGAAACTTACTTTCTTACTACAACCTGTTTCCAATCTGAACAAAGTGAATAAATTTTCCTCTTTAGTTCAGAATATAGCAGCTATAAAAAAAGTTACTCTGTTCCAGACCTTCATGTACAGCTGATAGTTCAGATGGTGACTCTAGTCTTCACTGTGGATTCCTTGAGTAGGAGTGGTTCTCATCCCTCAAACTTCCATACTACTAATTTCATGTATTTTTAAAAATATCTGTATAATGCAATAATGAATGTGTTTTCAATCTGTTGGGATCACTTTCAATACCGTTCTGTCACGTGGCGTTCCCACACCTTCAAGGCCTTCACCAAGGTTGTTGCAAAGGGTAACAGGTGCCATCTGTATCTGGATAAATGGCTGTTAAGACTTTTGAAGAAGACATTCTTCACTCTGTCCAAATTTTCCTAGTTCTTTTTCATTCTCTGGATATCTGATAAACCATCAGTTGTCTCATCTATATCCTGTGCAAATTCTGGGGCTTATTTGGGCCATGTTGGAGTCATGTGAACTCAGAACAGATGATGGTATATTTGATATGTTCTGTTAGACTTTGCAGATGAAATCCATATGTTGATCAGTTTCCATGCGCCACTTGAGGAAATGTGAAAATTAACCTTGTAATGAGAAGATACAAAATCATTGGAGCATCTGTATATGTCTTTGGCATCCAAGACGATGCTAACAAGGTGTAGCTCTGCTAGGTGGTAACTCAAAAGCATTATCTCCCAAAGAACAAAGTTTGATCATCAATACTCCAAAAATCATATCCTTGGTGATCACATTCATATAATGACACATAACAATATTAATGGTATATATCAGCAAACTAGGGGCATGGTGTTCTCTCTCCTTTGCTGTGAAGCAACCTGTCCCTGGAACTGAGACCTCTAGCATTTTATGTTCTGTAATTTTACTGAACATGCTGACAAGTTGCATCAAGCTGGGGGGTGGATTTTGCCATTTTCAAGGTCTGTATCTTGCTAGAGTAACACTTTTGCCTTAAGTTGCCATGATCAGATATCTTGCTCCAAAGACAACCTGAGATACTCGGGAGGTGGAGACTGCCAGATCACTTGAGCTCAGGAGTTCTGGGAGGCAGTGTACTGTGCTGAGTGGGGGTCCACACTAAGACTGGCATCTGTATGGTGATTCCTGGGGGACTTGGTCAGCATGTTGTCTAAGGAGAGGGAAGGTGTTACTGCTGATTTTCTTCAAGAGATAGTTCCCAGTATACTCAAATGACAACAGTGGGGGCTGTATGCCAGACTAGGCTCAAGGCCACTGCTTTTAACATATATCTTTTAGACAATGGAAAACAAGACAGCAGACAGGAAAAGCTGAAAGCAACCATTACCAAGACCTACCCATTAACACACCGATCAAATACATCATTATCTTGCATCCCTCTTGAGCCCCCATACTGTGTCTCAGAAAACACTGGTGGGTTGACCCTGGCCCCCACCCCCAGCACAGTGAGGAA